CAGAATCTGACGATGTAATTTTATTTATGCTTCTCCTTCCGGCCAATCCGATCTCTTTTCATTATTGAAAAAAAATAAGGGCAGAGATTTTAAGTTATACCATTCGGTACTCGGCAAAGATTCCAACTGTTCATGCAGGAACAGAAACAGATATGAATTAACAGCGCACGCTTCCTATAGCGGCACGGGTGGCCTGTAGGAGATTTTGTTGTAAATACGCATGGCAGCCAACGTGTTGACGCGATGCAACGTGCAAGCTGGCTCTGTGCAGATGTCGTCTATGCAGATGCGCCCCGGTCTTCGCGAACGGAATCGCGACGAGGGAAAACGTCACGGAATGGCTTTAACGATTTGCAAATATGTACGCGAAAACTAGTTTCGTTCGGCTCCCGGCGGGATTATCTCGAACCTTGACGAGACGAAATTTGAACGAATCGTTGCGAAACGACGACGGACAGAAGAAATCTTGATCAGTTAACCCGACAATTTTCGAGCAAACACCGCGAACAAGCGTGATGGTGACGATTAAAGTTGATACGATAAAGATTAAAGCTGCAATAATATTTGCACCGCTGCGCGCCGTTCTTCTGGAACGTTGGCTTCGTTTCCTTTGCCGGAGATTCGCGTAAGTGAGAATCACGCCGTTGATCTCTCAGATCTGTGAGAGAAAGGTCGATTTTGCGTGTCACCAGAAACGTACTCGTTCCACGATTTGAACTCGAACTTGCCGGTGAAACGTATAACGTAAATTTCATAAATTTTTGAACGCGTGATCGATGAAATCCGTCGCGAAATTGGTCGACGCAGCTAAAATCTTGAACGCACGAAAATCATCGGCAGTTTATGGACGAATTGCGTGGACGATCTACGAATTTCTTTCTTTCAGTCAACGCTCATGATTCTGTGCAGCAAAAATTTCAGCATGTAAACAAAGAGAAATCGCAAGAGCGGCGCGGCTGCGATGCAAAATATTAGCTTTTCTTAGTGCACTCGTCTTGCAGATTGTGCACGTTGCGAACGATGCTTTCCTGCGATATAGTACGTGAGTTATGTTTATTAGTAAAAGCTAGAAATCTCGGTTTCTTCGCCGAACTGTTTAAATAATACGAAAGATAGCGGGAAATCGAGGCGGAAAACCGCGAACCGTACAGATTATTTACGACTCGACGTGTGTGCACTATCGCTGGCGTCAGTGGGCTCGAGTGTTGCATACTCGACCTAGAAAATAATGCATTCGGTGCGCTGAAAATTCGTTTGGGACACATGCGAACGACCGCGCCGCCGTTTCGTTATAAATAATCGGACTGGAAGCGAACGTTCGAAAACAAAGCCACGCGTGGCAATAATAACGAGCGGGGCGCTATCAGCGGTATTAAAACGAATATAAAAATCTGGCCGTTGGGGTCTCCGGTATCGCTGCGAACGCGTTCACACTGACTAATCTGTCCAAACAAAGAAAAATCCGCTGCCGGGCGCACAGTGTTTACGGACGGAATTAGAATTTTTGGTTTGCGCCGCGGTCGATAATTCGCGCCCGTTATCGCGGCGACGATAGTGATAAGCCACCCGAGCGTTGGGAGTCCGATCGCGGTGAACCTGCTAAAAATAACCGAGAAACAACTCTAGACCCCGTTGAAAAATCTCGAGCCGACAAAGTAGCTCCTAAATCACTTTAATTGACGGCGATTTGCAGTTCAAACAAGCTGAAATTACCGCATATTTGTTTACTCGTTCTGAAATTATGCTTCGCGACGTATCGCCGCGACCGTTGAATTAAAGATTCGTTTCGTCGATGTAAATTCATACGATATATAGGTCCACTATACCTCAGGTGGACGAACAATGGATCCGCGTTGTTCTTTGTACGCTTGATAAAACGTGAGTCTCGCGTGAACGGGCGAGGAATCGTCGGTTAAAATCGTGAAGGGCCGCGCGACACGACGCGCGAAGTTTAAATTTAGGCGTGTCCGCGACCCCGAGGATTGTTTACAAACAAACGAGGCGTAGTTGATTTGCGACGCGCGTACAAGAGACGATAGCATGATTGCAATCGCCTCCCGCGATTGGCCGGTGGCCAATAGAAGTTATCCTTGGACGGCTCTCTCGCCGCCGTCGTCGCCGCGGCTTCCCCGGTATAGTCATTCATAGATAAGAAGCACGGCCACGAGTTGCCGCGTCTGCGATCATGTTTATTTCGTCGAACACAATCGACTTCTTATTTTTTCTTTTTTCTTTTACACAGAACGAGATAACGATGAAAACAATTGTCTTCGTTGCAGCAACGTCACAACTGCAAAACAATTGAAAAGTACGATATTATTCACAGTGTAAACTGTCGCGCGAGATACGGAACAAAATGAACGTGTGAATGGACGAGATAGCTTTGACAGAGTTATCGAACTACTAATTATTGTTGGACTTGATGATATATTATAAATCCATCTCTTGTTACACGCGGGTCTTTGTTCAATCTAATTTAACCCTTTCGCTACTACGGGTGACTATAGTCACCGGCCACAAGATGCCACCTATACACGACGGGTGACTATAGTCACCGGTCACAACAATGGAGCCAAAAGTTAAAACAAGGGCTATCGCCTCGCTTTCCTCTGTTCGCAGACGCTATCATCTACCAAAAACTACGATCAATTGTAATAAATCTGGTCATATTAATCCAACGCGTCTTACTGTAAGGCACTTGCCATCAATTTACGTAAATAACAAAACGAGAAGAAAAAATCCACTAAGAAAATGTGTGGTATGCGCAAAGAACGACAAAAGCAGTCCAAACGCGATACCAATGTGAGAACTGCAATGTTGGATTATGTGTGTATCCGTGTTTTGAGAAGTTTCATACAGAATATAATTATTAAAAAATTATTGCTCAATAATATGTTATGATTATAGTTACTATTTTGTTGTGCAATGTAAAAATATTAATTGTATTGTTGAATTAAAAATACGTTCACGAAAAATTATGAACGAATTGTTATGAACAGAAATCATTTTGCTTCTAAAAGCAGTGTCACAACGTCGTTTTTGAAGCAAAAAACTTGGCCCCGAATGCTGAAGACTGCGCGCGCTTAATATTCCTGCTTTCGTCAGGGTGCTCCGTTCTACACGAGGGACTCCGCGGCGAGGCCCGCCGTAGCAAAAGGGTTAAGAGCTGTTTCGCTCGAGTCTCGTTTCGCAATTGAGAACAGAAAAAGGAATTGATATAATCGGTTAGCGCTGGACTGGACCATTGTCTTCGCCGCCGAAACAATCTCTGACAAAGGCTGTATAGATCGCGATCCTGTTACGCAACAAACCGCGGTCGATTCGCGATCACTATCGAATTCTTCCGGGCGACAGGAAACCGATCTGCATCGCGTCAGTTTCCCGTGGCGTCGGCCCGGCAGAAAAACCCGGCGCGAGCTTTGTGTTACACGCACAAAACCGGTAAACCGATCCCGCCGACTTTCAATTCAATTCAGACACGCGTGCATCTTCTGTTTCACTGGGCGACACGTGATCCGCTTCGCGATTTAAACGCTCGCGAATCGGATTCGCGAGCGGCTTACGCGAGCGGCTTACGCGAGCCGGCGGGTCCCGTTCGAATTGTATTTCGTTTCGTTTCGTTCGGACTCTTTTCTTTTTTTAACTCTGTGCGTTTCTTTGTTGCAGGAACCAGAGCTTTTGGATAAGAACACCGACTGGATCTACGAGTGGAGTTCGCGTCCGGACCAAGCGCCCCCGAAGTATGCAAATTGTTCTGCACGCCCGTGCAAGCAGCACCGTTTAAATGGATTACCTAAATGTCTCAGTTATTTATGGTCGCGCGAAGAACAAGGGAACAAAGTAACGCTATTTTCAGAGACACATTCGACTACACGAACAGATCTCTTTCTCAGTAGTCAGTTTGTCAAATTATTTTTCTAGATTGTCAAAGCGTTGTTTCTGTTAGAATCATCTTTTCAATCAATTTTTGGAGGATTTGTTTTGCACAAGAAGAATTGTTGTTTTGTCTTCAGATACGTTTTTGGTTCAACTATAAATAACCGAGATACTTCTCTGTATTTTGATTTAAGTGATTCACCATCCGTCCAGCCGCCCTCTTTCCTAAATTCGTTACTATGCATCATCCTTGCACAGTTCTTGCAATAATCGTCACGCAGATAGTTCTATTTGCAGCGATAAGGAGGTCGCGGATTGTATGCACTACGCAATTATTCGACGTTCATGATCGATAGAACCCATTGCTAAATGATACATAGCAATGTTGAACGAGGCTTCTATTTTATTTGGAGTACGATAAGCTTGGTGACAGAATCAATAAATTTCTATTTGACCTAGTACAGAAAACTCGGTGTTTGCAATAGTACCTAAATGATGACTGTGTATTCGTGCATTGACGTTTTCGTGTATACAGTTGCTGTACACATTTTTGTAGAAGTAAAGACAGTTCGGAGAAAAATCATTCAGTTGTTGAATCGAGAATTCTTGAAACAGCTGTATAAAGTTAGGTGTATATACATTCTCCGTGGCGGTCTGCGCTTTGAAATAATAATATTAGTTTAAGAATTTTTCCATGTTCTAGTTTAGTTTATACCGCGGTCTGTTTCATAGTTTACTAACTTCGTAGCTCGACGTAAAAGCATAATGTACGCGTGAGAATTCCTTGTCCCAATTTCCTAGTTTCTAGTCTACTTTCAACTATAATCTACTCCATAGCCTTCTCCAAAGTTCCCTAACACTGTATAAACCTGTAATTTTCATTTGGTAACTTTCGACTAAGTTCCATTTCACTTTATAATACTTTTTCAATAATATCTTTCTTGATGTTTCGAGGAAACTTTACTCAATGGCTGTCCTATTTTAGAGATTGGAAATTTAAGCACCCTCTTGGAACGAACAAGAGGAAATCCTATAGCATCCGCACTACAAAAGTCGGCAAAATTGGCCTGTTTTCCAAGGAGGTCCTGTATACACTTTTCATAACAAACATCTTGTCCGTATTGGTCGGCGCTGGCTTGGGGTAAGCAGTTTTATAACTTCGTAGAATCATGGACTCCATTGGATTCTTATTCGAGAATGGCTTCTCTTCCAACCATTTTCTTTCGAAAACACAGCTAAACAACTCACGTATCAATAAAGTTCTGTAATAGTTAGAGAATGATCGGAAGCCCGAAGAAAGAAAATTTGAAGCTGAATGAATGAGAGGGTCACGAGCGAGTATACTAAAGACCGTGTCGTTTTGTAGAGTTTGGTTGACCAGGCGAGGATCGATAACGTCCAGCTTGACCATTGAGTGAAGGAGCTCCCCAGTCAGGACCGCGGACGTGTTAGGATTGCTGCGCTTGTGTTTGTAACGGAACGGAGCGATGAGTTGGTCCATAAACGTGTTGCAAAAGATAGAAGACTGAAGAGCGAAGAGGGTCTATCGAGCCTAAAACATGAAGCATTACATTAAAAAAAAAGCAGATAAAAAAAACAGTAAAACCGACAACAATCAAGAGAAACAGAGAGAGAGAGAGAGAGAGAGAGAGACCCAATTTCGATTAGCCTCCTCCTCCCCCCGGTTTTTAATATTAGCACTATCCATCTTAACCCTTTCCTGCCCGACAGACAAAACTTAAAGCTACGGCGTGCGCCTATGGCACACATTCTTTATTATTCTGTAAGCCGTGTACGCAATTTGCATATGCTTAGAACGAGAAGAGGGAAGAAACTTGAAAACCATACAGGACATATACAGAGACACGTACACGAACATACACAAGATTAATACGATTTATTATTATAGTCTAGCGCGTTGTTGATACAACAAGGAACATGTCCATTTTATACCGTTTCTAAATGCGTTTCTATCTGCGATAGTCTATAGGTATAGCTTGGATAGTATTTATCTATAATTAATTATTAATTGTTACACGAAAAGGGAAACGTTGTGAACAGATATAGAATGTTTATGAGCGTGGTCTATAGAGGGGATGAGTGGTATCATTATGGCGGAGTATAATGATAGGAGCAGATTAAACGGAGAAGATATTGCTTAGGAAAGAAAGATTGCGAGGGACATTCGACTGCATTGAAATCGACATTCAATGCGGGCACGAGTAGGCAAATTTTGTTCGAGTGTGATACACGTTGTAGAGAGACAATGGAGCTTATGATATCCTCTTTCGAAGGAATAATAATTCAAATCTGTTCGTAATATACAAGTACAATAAGGCGAGAGTTTGTTGAGAAATGATTTACAATGTATGTCCGCGTTAACAATTACTTTGTTATCTCGTTCATTAATGTTTTTGATTCTTTTCCTTTTCTGTGTTTGCGATTTTACGATTGTCGAGGACGTATAAGAAACATTACGATTCTGTTTTATTTTGTCGATTTGTTAGAAATTCAGAATTGGTATATTCAAATATATACGTTTACGTTGATTGGCGTGTTTCTAACCGTATATATTCATTAAGTACTACCCTCGGCAGAAAATATGCAATGATATTTTAAACAAATATATTAATAAAGTGACATTGTTCTGTAAAGATAAAAAAAGAAAAAACGTTCTCACGCTGTTGCTTACAAAATAGCGAACATAATTTAACGTTATGTTTGTAAACGATTGATCTCATTGCATTTTGTACGTAAAATATCCGAATGATATTTCTTGGCATAATCGATCGAGTACTTTCTGCCAGAGGTGTAGACGATAATCGACAATGCACTTGGAATATGCAACAGCTATTTTATACAAACATGGTTTTGTATCGTCTGGGACACATGGACGCATGAAAGCTTTGACGAAAGAGAACACAGGCTCGCAATTTCGGTGTGAAAGCTCGAGTCGATTCATCGATCCTTCTTTAATTTGAGAGACCTGTCAGTTACTTGCGTCGCTTACAATTCTCCCGCGATATACTTACGAGTCGCGCTTATCTTTCGATAGCACAATGTGTGGCTGGTATTGAACTATGGTAAAATAAAGAACTACAAAAGATAAACATAAAGAAGCAACTCGACAGCGATCGCAATCGCTTTACTAAGATTACCGAGGTTTTTCACTGACGACGAATATAATATCTGTACCGTGTATTCAGTGTAAGATGCTGTATATTATGAAACAGTGCGTATTCGATGTAATTAGGAATTAGCCACGCAAGTTTTTATATTTTCAATAATAATTCTATATATTACATCGGGTCTTTTATTTCTGAGAACCCATGAAGCGTTCGAGGAATCGATAAAACTGAAATGATACGCAAGATCTAGTGATAATGTTAGATGCTTCTGTTAGCATTTCGTAATTGAAAGTCTGCATGCTCTAGAGACTTGAAAGTATCGGTGAAACAGAAGTTCCATCACAATAAAAATCCACGATAATGGCGCCCGAACCGGACCAACTGGAAGCAATTTCTGTTTCCACGAAACAGAAATACCTAAGAAACCTCCTCTAATCTTTTATAATTCAACGAAAGCAACAGAAGAAAACAGAAAACCAAAAAGCTCTGCTGAATCCGATTGTACCCGACGATTTTCATTAGCATGATCCATTACAATGACGTAAATACCCGCGAGAAAAATATTAAGATCTTCGTGAGAGTACTTCCGTTGGAGAAACCCTGCGATTCTTGCGTACGAGTCGACCTAGAGTACAAAGTAATTAATGTTTTTTGAAAAGATGTTGAACGTGGAGAGCGAATTTGTTGACATTTTGACAGCGTTACTTTCTCCGCTCAGATAGCCAGAGGTTAATGTAATTAATTATTAAAGGAAGGTCAATCTTATCTTTAGAAAATATTTATACGATGCTTACAAGAAATGCAGCCGAACAGGGTCGCCATAATAAAAGAGCCATCTTATTGGTGTTTCAAAACAGATGGAATTTTTCTTGACGCCTCGCAGGAGGAGGTGTACCATTCCTCAAGCAAGGATCTAGTCTTGAAGTAAATTAAGAACCTGATGCTCTTGATTGTAAAGCCACCCTTGGCAATTATTCTTGAGGCAATTATTCCTCAAGCAAGGATCTAGTCTTGAAGTAAATTAAGAACCTGATGCTCTTGATTGTAAAGCCACCCTTGGCAATTATTTTTGAGGCAATTATTCCTCAAGCAAGGATCTAGTCTTGAAGTAAATTAAGAACATGATGCTCTTGATTGTAAAGCCACGCTTGGCAATTATTCCTCAAGCAAGGACCTAGTCTTGAAGTAAATTAAGAACATGATGCTCTTGATTGTAAAGCCACCCTTGGCAATTATTCTTGAGGCAATTATTCCTCAAGCAAGGATCTAGTCTTGAAGTAAATTAAGAACCTGATGCTCTTGATTGTAAAGCCACCCTTGGCAATCATTCTTGAGGATTTCAGTTGAGACACTATGTCGATGTTATTAGCTTAGCATATACCAACTCCAGCCTTGCTCTCTCAGACTGCGCAAATTGTACGGGAGGGGAATTCGTGATTTATTACTACTTTGAAAAAACATACGACACGAAAATAATGAGGTATTTTCAGGATCCTAGACGGTACAAGTTGCGTCCTGTTGGGCCACGGACAAACGGGCTCCGGCAAAAGTTTCACCCTCAGCGGACTGAGCAACAACTGGGAAGTACGATTCTGAAAGAAATTAACGCAGCCGGTTAATCGAATAATGTAGATCCAGTGATTACGTTCCTCTTCTCAGCACAGGGGTCTGGTATCGAGGATACTGTGCGACCTGTTTCTGGAGAAATCGAATCGAAAGAGGGTCAGCAAGATACAGTACCACATAAGCTTCGTCGAGCTACGTGGGAAAGATGTCAGAGACCTGTTGTTGCCAGAAACAGAGAATAAGGCACGGATAAAAGATCGAGATCCGTTTAAGGTGCGCCGCATCAAGAAACGGGCGATAAGAGCCTGTCTTAATTGCTGCTCCTACAGGAGATCTCTGTGGTTCCCGCGGAGAACGAGGGACAAGCTCTGAGGATGATCTTCGAGGGAGAGGTCAGGAGATCCATCGTGAGAGGATCTACGTATTCGGTGTCCCATGTGGACACGGCTGTGATCACCATTCATGCTACCAATGCCAGCTTGGTCACATCGGGAAGCGTGTTTACCAGAGCCAAAGTAATTTATATTCATTGGGTGTTCTATGGATCTTCTTGAACCGATCTTTCTCTACCTTTCCAGATGCACATCGTGGAGATGGCTGGCATTGGGACGATGGGCAGAAATGATTTCTGTAAAACGGCTTCGGACATTGCCACGGCTAACTCGACCAAGTCCCAGCTGGAACATTTTTTCGCGCACCTTGGCAATGGAGGACCAATGCCGTACAACGTGATACGATCTAGCAATCTGTTGAAGATCCTCGGAAACGATTTCCCCGTGGCATCCGTGATCCGGTGATTAATCGAGAGAGAGAGAGAACACAAGCTACTCGTTCTCAACGATGAATAATTCAATTTATCTGACAGATTCATATCGCACATCCGTGTGACGAGAGAGGATCTAGACGTCACGCTGTCAACGTTAAGATTCAGTGGGAACATTGCCAGATTAAAACCTACGAAAGTCAAGAAGGGCATGGAGTATGGTCAGGATCGGATTGTTGAGAGGCTTCGGAACGAGATCGACGCTTTGAAAAAGGAGCTGACGATAAACGAGATGCTCCTGAACCAGGAAGCTTCGATCAATATATCGAGGACCCGATTAGAACAGATTAAACGGAGTGTTGTTAATTACTTGAATGGCAACGTGAACAAATTCACGTTGCTGAACATGACACAGGCTCAACAGCTGCTGAAGAGCGTCAAGGATCTGTACAACAGGTTGTAAAGTCTTCTTATATCGAGTATTATTCTTCCCTGTTGTAAAGTCATTGTCGCAGTTAATTACTGTTAATTAAACCGCTAGACTGACGGCCAAAGAAACGGAGATGGAACAGCTCAAGGAGATGTACGAAAACATGTCAAAGAACATGGTGGATGTTGGCGTATCAGCAAGATTGTCTAAAGTATGTTAATTTGTACATGGTTTGATTAATCGTCATTGATAAAATATTTGGATCGTTGATAGGAGTCGTTGACTGCTGAAAGTCGAATCCACAGTCTAAAGAAAGATACTTTGGAAGTCCAGGAGGAGGCATCGAAAGTAGAGGAAGTTGGAAGCATAGCTAAAATCGGTTAAAAAGTTTGCTAATTTTTTTTGTAAATAGATGTCTAAAAACAAAGTGATGATTGAAATTCTTTAGCTGTCGGGATGACTCTGGGACCATACCAAAACGAGGAAGAAGGATATGAACGGGACAATGTTACGGCGGTTGAACATGAACGCCAGATGGATCATCAGAGTATTTTAATGGTTCGTATATATATAATATTTATTATTATTTATAATATACAATTTTATGCTAATTTTATGTATTTTTAAATTTGTGCCTGTGCAGAAACTCCGGCAGATTTTCAAGCGTTTCCTGAAAGACGAAAGGGTGTACGGTAGGATGAAGGAGAAGTTGGATAAGAACGTGAGGACGTTGGAGATAGTTCAACAGAGATTCTCGAAATGGATCGATAAGTATTTCGAGGTAAGCCAAATTTATCTCGGATTCGATTTAGGATTCGGAGATCGATGTAGGAACTTTGTTCTCCAGGTGAAGAGCACTTTGGAGAACGCCAAAGACAAGCTCAGCAAGCATCAGCGAATTCGGTACGCAATGAAACCGCAAGAACCAGAGGAGTTGGTACCGGAAGTGGAGATAGTGATCAGCCGTGATATCGCGTGTCATCAAAGAGTTCTGATGAATTTGGAGGAAGAGGTTCTTCAAGCACAGAACGAGATACGCCATTTATTAAAGGAACAGCTGAAAATGCACACGGAATTCAAGTCCGGTTTCCGAGAGTATTGCAAAGAAATGGACGCTTTGACACTTTACAGTGACAACTCAATTAAATTGTTGTTGGAACCGGTGGAGAAGGAGTCTTTGGAAGTAGCTAAAAGCAAGTTCAATCAGTTTCAACGAGCGATGATGCGCAAGTTTGAGGTGAAGTATTGAATTTCAGAAGATAATTTTAATTTTAATTCTAACACAAATCATTTTTTCAACCGCTTCTTATTATTATTTTTAGGAGAAGGAGAGAATGAAGGAAGTGCGACGCGATGATTGGTGTATTTTTTAAACTTTACCAACTATTGCAATAATACTTAATACAACGCATAACGTGGAACACACGTACTGTAGCGCTATAACTCACGGCGTCATATTATTTCTCTACCCAACCTTATTAACGTATTAATTTTAATTTAGCTTATAATTAATCGAATTAACTTATCGATCATCTAATCGGTAGATGAAATTATAATGTAAGCTAAATTAAAATTCGTATAATCAGAATAATACATTAATATTTCATATTCTACATTTAATTGAATAAATCATTATATTTTTAAACTTTTCAAAACTGCTCAAACATACGAAATTGTGATTTTTGAATGCAGAAAATTGCTCAAAAGTACGAATTTCAGGATATAAATCTTTCAAACGTGCTCAGAAGTACGAAATATATTTTATTTCCGATCAAATAAAATATGTACAAGATTACATTCCTAAAATGTGATGAAACGGCAGGTATTGGTGGCGCCACTCGTGGCAAAACGTTCAAGCTGCTAGTCAATTACCGACCCGTGTGTGACAAGGAGCGGTAGATGACGCAGCAAGGCAGTCATACACATTCGTGAATTACAACGCTAAACGCACTTTCCAAAGATCGTTAATAATGCATTAATTGGGCATCTACTCTATTCTAGACTTCATTCTAGGCTCTTTCGACACATAGGTGCATATTTTACGTTGTAAGATTGCAAAACTAGTTAGTACAAGTCAATCGCAAGCCAGACAAAGCAATTTGAAATATGTACTTCCTCGTATGTTTTCCTGATAAAAATAACAAGTAGTGTAAGTCAGTGGAAAGTTAGACTTTAAAATTTTTTACTGGTTTGAAAGGGAAAGGAATCCGTAGGATTTTACAATAATTTTATACTCATGAAAGGGAATCAGAACGAAGCCGACGACTTACTTTACTAATAATAAGACGCACCCACGCACGCAGTATATATCGAGCAATTATTGCCTACAAACTCATACATTCGAAACAATCTCAATGTGCATTGAGCATCGTTCGCAAATTCGCTGGCAAATGTGGTCGAGAATTTCGTGAGGCGAGAAAAGTACAAGTCGAATATCGCGCCGCGTGTTTCAGATGGAGCGCCAGGCACGCATGCGCGAGAAGAGTGAGAGCGCAAGCACAAGTAAAGTGATACAACTACATTGGTTGTCGGTGTGACTCGTTTCGCATGTGGTTGCGCGATGCGTGCTATCTTTGTCATTTACTATGACGGCAGCACTATTTAGCTGCGAATTGTCAGCCAATCAGAGCACAGCAATTCGCTGCATTCTCTCAATTCAAGATCCCCGTTGCCCCTGGATACGGTTCTTGAATTGCGAGATTAGTGTACATTGAAACAGAATTTCCGGATTGGCCATCAACTCGAGCGTTTTACGGTCGACATTTTCCCTAGTACTTTTTCTAATCCAATCAAGGCACAATCAAGGCTGCCTAGTACCTAGAAACTTTCCCTTAGATTATTTGACGTCTACTGTCACAAAGTGTGTCTTCGGGAATCGGGGAGCATCACCTTCTCCCAGTTTCTCCCACTACGGTAGCAAGTGAAACGCGCCTACAGCTCAAGTGTGCATTGGATTGGAATTGGAGTTAACCAGTTGCTCAAAGAGTTGCTCTGTTAGTAGTGCCGTAGTCGAGAGTGTGCTCGCTTCAAATTAATAAAATGCAGCACGAGATCGATGCAAAATGTGATACAATTAAGTCGAGGTAAGCGTGGCACTGTAATTTACAAAACCGATTCAAGAGACGCGAATGATGTACATGTATATCTCGTTGCTCGCGACCGGCGCATGTCTGAGCGGTTCGAAGTGTATAGGGAATATCGCTATGAATGAATATTTTGTTTCTGGAAGACGGTAACTACAACGACATCAGCGCCCTTACGCATTCGCGCTCTCGTTCATATCGTTTGCCATCAAAGTGAATCACCGGTGAATAGAAGATCCACGGTCGCGGTAGTGTGCACTCGCGTCGCCGAACAATTTGGCACACGGCTACGTTCTTCCCCGAAAACATCGAAAGACCCGATCCAATTAGGATAAAGGTTGTTCCACGCATCGTTTCCCGGACCGCGCGCGCTTGCGTTCACGATTCCGTCGTGAACTCTTGAGTGGCGCGTTTTACATGGCGTCCCGAATGGTGTCTACACCGAGACTCCGGCTAGACTGACACACCGGTTTCGAGTGGCTCGTACGTGTTTTTTTTTCTTGTCGCGTTATCTTTGTCCGAATAGCTTGGCGCGGAATGTCGTGATTGTGGCCCCGGTCTACCGAAACAGAAATAGAGAAATACGCGCGCGCGCGCGCGCGTGTGTGTGTGTATGTGGGAGGGAGAGCGAGAGGGAGCGAGTGAGAGAGCGTGAGAAAGGGAGGGAAAGGGACGTGAAGCAGCGTCGAGTACGATCGAATGCATCGGATAGGTAAAAACGGAATCTTGCGGTAGGAATCAAGTTGTTCGGACATTTCGGTGTCGGAACGGTGCGGCCGCGAGTTGCGTTTAATTCTCTTTACGGGCCAACAAGAGGGAAGGCGTGGAAAGATAATACGTGGTTTCAAGGCAGGGCAAGACTCTAAACACCATGGGTAAGACGCCAAAGAAGGCGGCCCCTGGGGGCGATGAGAGGAATTTGTACGATCGGAGGCTGCTCAAAGCGACGACCGCGGCGTCAAAAACCTCTGAAACGCACTTGCACAACAGACAACGCGAATCCGAGAATCCGAACAGGTTTGTAAAACCAATAAGCCCCCTCGACGAACCAGCGAGTTTAATCACAGTCTTCTCCCTGTCATATCTCAGCCACATATCCGTTATCTTCGCCTCGGTCCGAGTTTACGCATCGTTTCGAGTTGTCTTTTTGTGCTTCGTGCGGTGCCGGACGCATCGCTTGCATTTATCGTTCTCCTCTTGTCGCGCGAAAAACGCGACGAGGATAAACCGGGCCAAATGTCATCCAATTTCGCAGATAGCTCATACGATGTCGCGTATCCCTGTTTGTAGATCGAATTTTCGAATGTTTTTTGCGAGAAATTTTTTACGGCTAAGTGTTCCGACCACCATTCCGTTCAGCTGTTCTACGGAGTTTTTTAACAATCATTTTCAATTAGTACCTCTCATCACCTCCGGTACTTCTTACTCGGTGGAAATTGGCTATAAATAAATGCAGGTACCTCCTTTCAACCACTTTCAGCGTTCGTGTATTCTTGTTCTAGGTCTAAGTCGAGCACAGCACAGAAAAAAATACCTACCGGTCACAGAGACTTTACGGTAAATCAAATATACCCCTCCCGACAAAGATACTTCTCTTCTTTGTAACGTACTCGAACCTCTGATGCAAATCGACATATTTATTGCAGAGTAAAATTAGCAAGCCGTCTAAGTTGGTTTCGAAGCGTCCTGTGAGGCAAGTTGTCACGCCATTGGGATCCTTACAGGAGAAGAAGCTACCTGTCAAGAACAAAAGCAAAGAGATCATCTTAAAGATGCAGCCGGAGTCGGAGGAGGCTGAGATTAAACTGGATGAGGCTTCGGGGAATAAAAGCACGAAGCAAGAGCCTTTCAAGGAGACTCAGAACTCTACGGAGAAGCATGGCGAGCATGCTGCTTCGGAACCTGTTCAGACCAGCTCCAAGGGAGAGGAGCAGCCGAACGGAGAGTCTGAGAAGGAGCAAACAGAGCCAGGAAAGAAGGACGAGAAAACGAACAATTCTGCGGAGACAAAGATGGTAGAGGAGCATGAAGAACGCGAGGAGAACGAGGGGAACGATATAAAGTTGACCTTCGATAACGACGAGAGCTCCGTGAAGCCTTTAGAGGAGAAGCCTAACGGGGACCCGAAGGACAACGAGAGCGACGAACCGAAGGGCAAGGAGAACGAGGAGGTTCGAATAGAAACGGAAACAAATGTGCAGGAGAACGACGGGATTCAAAGCGAATCGCTGAACGACACAGAAAACACCACCGTAGAGACTGCGGAGTCTTCTAGGTCGGAGTTGTCAGAAGTAGTTGCGAGTACATCATCGAACGATGCCAGAAAGGATAAAGAGAAAGAGGAGTTGACGACCCAGAAGGACGAGCCGTTCATTTCGTACGACCCCACGATACTGTTGAAAGACGTCCAGATCAAATTGAACGACTGCATGAAGGAGAACCCGAAACTGCAGGAAACAACTAGAATGGATCAGGAGGACGAGGAGGAACAGGAGCGAGAGATGCCGACGAGACCTTATCAGAATATGTCCTTCGGCAAGACGCTGAGGAATATCACCGGCAGACGATCTCTCAGCAGAATGCGACACGTAACGATACGCGAACAAAGATATTCGCCGAACAACTCGATGTTCGTCAACACTTCCGGTTCGTCGTTTATGCCCGACGAGACCGAGGACTTCAAGATCGTGCGGTACAGCACAGGCGTGTCCGAAACGATTTCCGCGAGCAACGGCAGTTCGATGGAAAAGAAACGAAAGCACGAGTTCAACGAGGACTGGAGCAGTAAGAAACAAAAGATCGACACAGAGAACAGTTTGTTGAACACCTCTATCAGCATACTGAAGGGCTTACGTAGGCCCATACAAGCGTCCACGCCTGTCGCCGAGCTCAAGTTCCAAGGCGATAAGCTGGATTTATCCGACGACGAGCGCGATAAGTTGGCGAACGACCAAGCCACCAAGGTACGATGGTGTACGGTCATGTAAATTACCTCAGAGATTTTATACACCTGCGTACACTCTTTTTCTTTTTTTGCACGCAAGGAAAGCGGCCCTCGTGCCATGCCATTTGTAGTCATAAGTATGTGTGGTTGCGACCACATTGTCGATTTGAAACATTTCAAACTTTCGATTTGATTCAGCCCGGAATAAAATCGGTTCTTGATCTCTGGAATCACGAAGCCTTGCGGAAAGACATTACTATATTAATCATTTCGTTTTTTAAACTTTAACTTTAAATACGCGGTCTCGCTGTACAGTCTTAAGAATGTTCGTGGAAATTTTCGTTGTTACGAGTTGATTTTGATGAACAATAAACGAAAGCTTCTACAATGTTACGAATTCCTAGGAAATTAGACTGAATACTACGCCGAGTTTTATCACACGATTATCGGTTTAACCCTCGGGCGCGGCGGTCGTTTAATTTATTCTGTATTCAGAATATCATAAAGATACGTTTCGATCGAACCGATAAAACAAAATTGTATGTGGTCCAAATCATCGTCAATTGTGTAATTGTCGAGAGAAGTTCTGCCTATCGAGGGTTAAAGTACAAAAATCCTTCGAGAATATATTTTATACGAACGACGGGACGCAGTTGTAGAAGCGTTCGAGTAATCGATCGTTCGAATTCATTGTCCATGTTTTTGTCACCCTTTCGTCGTGTGCACTTTATTCAAGCAAATTTCATTCTACCGATTCCCGATAAGCGATTACAGCTGAATTCTACATCGCAGAACAGATTACTTCCTCTCGAATCGTTTCGCGTCGCTAGGGATCGTTTAATTTTCTTCACGTTAAAAATGTATACTGATATATATATTTTTTATAGAACTCTATAAGCATGTCCTAGAACATTTTTCTATCGGGAAGCTAGAGAGAAAAAGAAGGGAGTAGAAAGAACGAGGGGGGAGGGAAGAGAGAGAGAGAGAGATTGATTTATTGTTTCGAGGGTATTGTAAAGATTTATATTTACCCTGACCGTAGAGCTTGCTTCTCTCGTTGCGCAGACACGACACTTTTTTTTTCTTTTTCCTTTGTTTTTTTTTACTACGTATTTATAATAGGGTAAATCGTTGCGGAATATAACTCGCGCGTTATCGAGCGGCGATAACATTTTTCTTCTGGTCGACCGTTCGCAGATACGATTTTTTGGTGTCCGGATTCGAACACGAAGACTGAACGACATGGAAGACGACCAGGGAGAGGGAGAGAGATAAAGAGAGAGAGAGAGATAGAAAGAGAAAAAAAGAGAAAGAGAGTATTAAAATGTATCGATTAAGTTAGAATAAAACAAAGTAAATGCGACATGCTCGGTAGAGTCGTATTTCCACCAAAGTCGTTCTCCCATGTTGCGAGTAGCCCCATTTAGTTGACGTTTTTATTGCCAGCACTTTTACCGAGTATCCTGTAAGCTCTCTAGGAACAGCTCTCGCTCCGGACAGGAGGGAAAACTTAAGCGATTTTCATCGATCGAGCCTTAATGCGATCCCGGCGAACCATTAATAATAGCTGTGGGGATCCACTTGTTTATACTTGTTACGATTGAACGGAGGAGAGTTGGGAACACGATGTATGAATAATGTATATAGAAAATGAGATTTATAATAAATCTTGAAAACCCGAGAACGGCTTGTTACGGTACTCGAGAGAAACCTCGCCCCTCGGTCCCTCCGTCGCGCTATGCCCACGTGCTGTGTCGTTTGCCAGGAAAGAATCGCAGTCGGATCCGTCGGCAAGATGCTATCTCGAAGACGCAGCAACGGCGACGGCGGCTCCGCTAATTAACCGTCTGCGCGCCACTTGCATTCTTTTATCAAACGCTGCGGGTCCATGCGGTCGCGGCCGCGTTATTATTCCAACAGATTCGATTAGTATCGCTGTCCTCGTTGCCACGATAATTGCCATGCGTATATGTAACTACGGCGTGCAGCAATTACAGCAGACTTAGCGCCCGCAGGTTTGCTCTCGAGAAACGAGATTCGCGATAAATATTACGGTATTCAACAGCGGAGAACAGCCGGACCGCTAATTAAACATCCGCCGGTTCTGAATTCGTCGACAAAGCGATTAAACGCTACGTAATTAGCTATTAACGATTCCGGGAGTAATCGTCCTTAACGATATCGCGTAACTCGTTATCCGCTCGTTAAGTACCATCGCGTGCCCGCGCTAATCGCAGGCTTCCGGTTCTTTCTTTCGTGGAAAGCCGGTTTTCCGGAAGAGGAGAGAACCGGTTTCCCGACGCGCGTCTTGGGAAAGAGGGTCGGCTATTCGGGTTACGGCTCGGATCAACGCGGTTATTTCTGCTTTAAATGGACTCCCGAAGATTTTCGAAGATCTCGGAACTTTTAATTTCCGGCGGCTTAAAAATACAGGGTTCCCCGGAAAGAATCATCCGATTTCAAAAATTTATATTTTAAAAAATTACACACAGAAAATTATCATTCAAACACGAATATAACGGGAAAACGTGCGAGTTTTACTTTTTACCCCCATTGGCACTTGGAGGTTCGGAATTTTCTTAACACATTAAAGGCGGGGGATCTTGACGCGAAAGTATGCTAGGTAACGCGGCGACCGCCCCGCCTCGTTTTTCGTCCTAGAGCGGGCGATATTTTGTGTAATCATAAAAAAATTTATATATATATATATAGACTTAAAAAAGTTTATTTAAACTCTCTTAAAACTAAAAGAAATATTAAAAAAGAACTAAACACTAATTACAAAAAATGTTTTAAACTACATATTTATGAGAAGTCGAGATAGAGTACTACGACTCCCGCCTTTAATGTGTTAACACGGAACTACCAAACCGTTGGATTGGTCGCAGTTCATCCGATAATATGGTTCTACACAGTTGGCCTCCGAGATCACCCGACCTGACCCCATGCGACTTCTTCCTTTGGGGATTTGTGAAGGATCTTGTCTTTGTACCACCTTCACCTACAAGTGTAAATGAACGGAAAAAAAACGCATTTGCGATGCTGTACAAACAATTACCAGAGATACATTACACCGTGTTTGACAAGAACTTTCATATCGCAATGATATCATACGTGCAACGAAAGGAAGTCATATTGAACGCTTGTAAACAAAATCTCGCACATTTTCCCGTTATATTCGTGTTTGAATTATAATTTTCTGTGTGTAATTTTTTTTTTTTTTTTTTAACACAGCCGACCGCACGCGTCACAGAGACCTGTACAGTTTCCACCGCGCTCGGGAAAGCCAAACTGCGCTGTCCACCGCGCATTTTTCTGAGGTAGCACGGACTGAAATTCGCTATTTGAAATCAAAAACGTCCGAAAATTATTTATGTGATCAATTATATCTTACGGTAACAATTTCGTTCAACGATTTCACATATTGCTTATACAAAATTCGAATTTAAAAGTTTATAATAATTATTTTTTAATGGTTATTCAAAAAGTATAGTTAATAGAGTGAGAAAATTAAGGACAGTAAAGATGACGGATAAATAACGTAACTCAAATATGGAACAAAAAAGCAGTAATATATCGTGATGTTCAGGCATTGTGTTGATGCACGCAGTTCGACCATATGCTTCAGTTCAACTCTAATATCATCTTCTGTCCGATCATCGACGCCATTGACAATAACATTTGATTCCGAGTCATCGCGGTGGAATCATCTTCCGATTCACTCAAAAGGATTCGTCGATTAGTCTGATATATGGGAACGATGGTGCGGTGTGGTGTTGGTGTGCATTTTATTATATGTTGTACCCTATAGAAATAAGAAGCTCTATAGAGAAAGAAGCGTTCCTCAGGTCAAAGTGGTAGATCTACCCGATCGATCGGCTAAGTGTTCTAATAAAATAATTTTATGGCTGGTAGAGGCACCTTCGGAAATCCCGAACATAAAGAACCGTAATAATGGGCAATAAAAGACTTCAAAAATTAGTGCATGTTATTATAATTATGTTGTACTCTATAGAAATAAGAAGTTCTACAGAGAAAGAAGCGTTCCTCAGGTCAAAATGGTAGATCTACCTGATCGGTCGGCTACCGACTAGCTTGGAAATGGGTAGATCTACTCGATCGGTCGGCTAAGTGTTAAAATATAAATTTTTGAAATCGGATGATTCTTTCCGGGGAACCCTGTAGATTTGTCCACGAGCCTCCGGCTCGCATGCGGGCGTAACCGCTGGCGCGACGACGACGCTGTGCCAGGAGAGAAAGGCCAATTAGGTAAAATTGACCCTGATCGTTCGCGCCGCGTAGTCCGAGCGGACCCGTTCAAACATATCGTTTCACGGATCGCTACGTTCGATCCGCTCCGGACGAAGCAACCGGTTCGAAACGAGGGAGGGGACAGGCTCCGAGAAAGTTCCCGCGAACCCTTCTCGCGGATCGTTCGATCTAAAGTGTGCGAACGCTCTCGTCGCCGTCGTGGAAAAACAATGAAGTGGCTCTGGAGGGACTTCGGCTCCGTGAACGACCGGGTTTTTCGCGGGTTTCCAACCCTCTCGGAGAGCCAGGCTAGACGGTGACGGAGAGGGATGGGAAGGGCTCGAAGAGGACACGAGGGGATTGGGCGAAGCGCGTGCCGAGAATTCGAAGAGGAGTTTCATCGGCTGCTGCTCCCGTCGCGACGTATCGATATTCTCGAGGCATCTGCGGCCACACGTCGAATACAAAAGTTCCACGATTCGCTCGCGACGGCGCGGAAAAGTTGGCTCGCGGCCGCGGGGAGGCATCTGTCGCGGAAAAAGTTTCCCCGTTGCAAGTTCCGCGGAAGTTTTCGGCTCGCCGGGACGAGCCGGGCCCGCTTCTCGGACACCGGCGAATCTGGGACAAAGAGACGCGATTCCGTGACGTGTTACGCAAACGAATTACAAATGATCGTCGCGGGACAGCGTCTCCTTGAACCGCAATTCGCGTCGGCGATTGGCTCTAAACTGGAAATCAAATCGATTCGAATTGAATCGAATTCGTTCTCTGTTAGCGCGGCCTCCAATCACGGTCTATACGGAATCTTCGAACATCTCGGGACAGATATCTCGTCCGGGCGGTTTTAAAGAATCTCATCACGTCGGTCGGCCGCTAAAACCCTATCCCGTGACGGTAAAGAGTGCGACCTGTTTCTGTTACATAAGCCGGAGTATGAATATAATTCCGATTCCCCTCGGGAAATTCAAGACAGCGGCTAGGCACGCGCGGTGATCGGACCAGCCAGTGGCGTAGAAGTCGCGCGTCCTCCATACGCGATGATCCAGCGCCGGTCGCGTCGGTTATCATCGATCCGCTCGATCCCGTTATGAATCCGCAACAACGGCTAACGACAATTATCGGTCGCGAATTTGCGCAGTTTTGCTGAGAAATCCGGAAACGTTGGCAACGAGTCCGAAGAAGCGACGCACGGATCAAAGTCGTACTTTAATGGACTCTGTTTCAAGGTCTACGGGATCTCGCGGATTAATTTCAAGTATCGTTGTCAGACTCGCGTCGGAGAGACGCAATGGAAACCTAATCGCGTTTCTAGCGACGTCGCGAGGTCGGTGAAGTTCCTAGATCAGGGCTCGGAATTAAGTGCACGCGACGCGGCGATGTCGAGGACTACGCCTCCTGATTCCCGTCGCGCGACTTGCTCATCCGTGGTCGCCTAAATGCTGCACACATATGCGCAAAATAACAAATACATGCGCCTGATGCGCTCCGAATCGAGAGCGGCGACCACGGGTGAGCGAAACATGTGAAGGGAGCCAGGAGGCGTAGCCCTCGCAGCGCCGTCTCGCGCGCACTTAATTCCGAGCCCTGCTCTAGGAACTTCTCCGAGCTCGCGACGTTGCTAGAAACCCGATTAGCTCTCCATTGCGTCTCTCCGACGTAGTCTCTCTCCAATTAGAGCAACGAGGCAGGTCCGAATGGTTTCTAGGCCCCGCCTAGAAATGGGCGGGGCGTGTATCACACGCTGTACCGAACCGCACCGGTGTGCAGCGGGTAGCCATCGACTGGCGCCGTCGACAGGACCATTTCTGTCCTCGGTTCGCCGCCGCAGGATTAAGTCGTGAGGACGATCGCGCGATGGAGACAAGGACCCTGGCAGCCTTCCCTGAGCCCCGGCCACAGGACCGTCTTGATCCTGGTGCCGTTCGGGTTCGGAGAGGCGTGGTGCCTGACGTGAACCTGTCGCCTGAACTCCAGGGCCTGGGCCACGTCGAGGACCAGCGGCTTGGCGCGTGCCAAACAGGCCCACGCCAAACTGGAGCACACGGCGGCGTATCTCTTGACCTCGTCGCATCCCCGTAGACACGGAAAGTCGTACAGCGTCCTCTCCAGCTGGCTGACCACCTGTTCGGCGACCTCCCGGGAACCGGTTCTCGCGCCGGAAGTAGCCAGCTGCCGTTTCACGCATTCCTCCAGGCCCGGCGTCACCGTTTGCGCCGCGTTCTCGGTGCCGCTAAGGACCTTCAGGGCCTCGACGTATCTCGAGGTCTGGATCATGCCCGCCAGCCGCCAGGAGAGCTGCAAGTTCAAGGAGATTCGAGGAATTTCGAAGAGAATTAACCCCTTGCCGTATTTTGACGAGTCCGACTCGTTACGAAAATTTCTGATAATAACTTATCGAGTATAGATGTTATTCTGTCCTTTGAAATTGGAATAAAATTCTAATCTCTTGTCATCAATATTTAAGCATTCGAGTAAATTTAGGCACACGATAAGCATCAATTTTCTTTCCCTTCTAAGAAATTATTGCAATCGAAAAATGTCTAAACTTCAGTAACTGCGAAGAAGACGGTATGTCAAGGGGTTAAAGACCCTGTAGCAGCCATTGTGCTGCAACTACGCGCCCGTCTAGAGAAACTCTCAATTTTATAGCGGTACACGGCCGGCGACGATAATAACAGTTAGATGATTCGCTTGCAGAGGCCAAGGACGAAGTAATAAACTTTCCCTGGCCGTTGCAAGTCGAAAATGATTTTATTGACTTTTTTGGACAACCCCGCGTGTACAGCAAATGTTGCTGAAAAATAATTACCGGCCGCCTACCGCGGGAAAACCCTCAGGAGTAACCGTCACCTTGGACAAAGGAAGACGATGTTCCGCCGGACGAATATAAGCGGCAAAAGTCGGCTGTCGCGGATCAGTTCGAGCAGTTCGGTCAGGACAGCACGGTTACGTCGAGTATCGGTTAAAGTATAAGTTCGTATATAAGTCCATATTGTTATAATTGAGGGTACGGAACATTTCGAATACACAACCCCCTCAGACCCGAACCGCGCGTCGGTCGGACCAGAGAATCGCGCGCAGACCGAGCGCCGCCGATCGATCCCGAATTTCTTCTTGGCCCGACTCCCGCGAGACTTCGCCGACGATCAGCATCAAGTTTAGGATTTAGGCCACCGGAGACAGGCGGTGGTCGCAAAGGGGCGGGCCCCGGCTTGTTCGAAGACCCGGGACCTTTTTCCTTTCTCTCGACGTGTGCGTGACGCGCGAACGAAAAGCCACCGCGACGAGAGGACGAGCAACACACGCTGCTCGGAGGCCGGGATCCGCTTTCATAATCCTATGATTTATTCAGCAACGGAAAATGGATTCCGCTTTGACGCACGGTTTTTACGGCATCGTTTCACCGGGATCCTGCACTTTGAAGCGGAATACGGCGTATCGGGTCGACTTTCCGGCGGATCCGGGGACCCGCGCTCTCTGTCGTACGCGGCCGAATCTGCTCCGCGCGATCGATTTCGCGATTTCGTCTTCAATTAAAACGAGCAGCCCCGGCCGCTCCGGTGCTTTTTTAACGAGCCTGTCGTTTGATCAACGCGCGAACGCCGGCCCGCCGGCGGTTTTTTTTAACGCGACGCCTCGCCGGAACGCAATTATATCAGTTCCGGACGCGCGCAGTCTCGCACAGACGCGTCCCGCCGCGCCGTCGCCCCGTTTAACAACGACACCTCGGCGCGCAAGCGTTAAATTATATTTGCGAACAAAGCGGCCAAGCCGCAAAATCCTGTTTCGAAAACAATCGGGCCCCTCTAGCCGGAAGGCGAGGCTGGAAACGTCGCGGACGACGAGCCGACGCCGCTGGCCGGATTCCGCTTCCGCCTTCGCCGCACGTAACCGCGACCGGTTACAATGTCTCTCCGCGGGACTTGGCCTGTGGCGATAAGGCTTTCAATTTCCTGCACGCTCGCGATCGGTCAAGGTTCCTCGATAAGGAACGTTCGATGTATTAGGGTGTCCCATAAGTTCTTTCCGCGCCGCGCTCTATGAATGACTCTAACTGTTTACATAAACACGCAGACTTATTTTTTGGCTGTTTAGGGTATCGGTTTCAGTCATCCCAGAGCTCTTTTAGAGTACGTTTCGTTGGTGACAAAGTTCCTTGTAAGTTTTTTTCTACGCAGTTCAATACGGATAGCCAAAAGAAGCATTTGCGGCATGTTATGCTTCATTGCTTTAACACGTTGACTGCCACGCGTATTTACAACAAAATCTCCTACAGGCCACCCGTGCCGCTATAGGAAGCGTGCGCTGTTAATTCATATCTGTTTCTGTTCCTGCATGAACAGTTGGAATCTTTGCCGAGTACCGAATGGTATAACTTAAAATCTCTGCCCTTATTTTTTTCAATAATGAAAAGAGATCGGATTGCCCGGAAGGAGAAGCATAAATAAAATTACATCGTCAGATTCTGATTTGGATACTGATAAATACAATCTTAGTGATAATGAATGTTATGAAGATACTATTGACGAGATTTTACGAGAATTGGTCATGGAAGAANACAATCTTAGTGATAATGAATGTTATGAAGATACTATTGACGAGATTTTACGAGAATTGGTCATGGAAGAAGAAAGAAATGTTGATGATACTGAGGAAGCTACAGGTCAAATAAAAGATACGAAATGGACCGATCAGAGGCACGAGCATGTCTGAAAAAACAAACAACTTTTTGTCCAAGCTGTCCTGATCAACCTCAACTTTGCAGAGAATGTTTTAATGTTATACACTGCGAATAATTTTTTTAATAAACCATTTTT